TTGATTATGGTATGAAGCCAAAATTATTACTAATTTTGGGTGCTCAGGCTATAAAATGATTCCTGTTGAAGGATAAATCCATTTAATCTGTCAACTCTTATGTGATCTGCAGTGAGCAGCTTTATTTTTTAATTAAACTATATAAAAATATCTAACCGGTTTTAGGAATTGGAGGGGGGATGAATTGGTTCCATTTTTTAAGTTTACTTTTTTAAAAAACTTACTTTTGTGTCAGTATTTGGTGTTTAAAGGAAAAATTCACCAATTAGTTACTTATCTGAATAAATATTTATTGAAGATTTTAAAATGAGTGTTCAGGATGGTTGATGGAAATACCTGTCAGTATTTGTTTCTTATTTTATGCTTCCATACTGTTAACAGTAAGCAGAAGTTACCTTTAAAAGATAAGGAAAGCTAATTATATTCCCAGCATGCTGAAGGTTGATACATTCTGTCTATCATTATTATTACCTATTGTTGGTAAAAACCCTTCCATTTAAAGTGTAAGGAAATATAGCGCATAAACTGGAAATAATGAGGAGCGGACATGAAATCAAGAGGAAAATATACATTCCAAACTGCTTGTTAATGGATTGTATTATGGGGAATGTGCTTCTTTTCTCTTAGGTTTATAAATGATTCAAGTAATATCCATTGTCTAAATTTACAAATATAAAATACATATTTTATTGATGCCCCTTTCTCATCCAAACTATTTCTGGTTTGATTTCATAATAATAATAATGTTTTGAATAGCTGTAAAGGTACATACAGTTTATAGTGCACAAACTGTGAAAGGTGTTTGTCTTCTGAAAAACAAACACATTCTCAATTTCCCTACATTGTAGCAGAAGACTGATAGTTGGCTTGGAAATTTCTTTTCAGTGAGTTAGGAAGTTTTCAAATCTAAATTCATCTGAGTGGAACTGTCATTCTATGCTTTTTTTATCAGAATATGAACTGACAGGATATATATTGCATTTAATCTTTCACATTTCCAAAGGTGCGATTCAGTACAACTGAGTGGGTGAAAGAATTATGTGAGCAGTATCCCTTAAAACATCAGGAAAATTAATTTGTAGAATGGAATTCTATTCTTTAATAAGCTGGTCATAAAGAAATCAAAGTTAGAGGTTTATCTAAGTGTACATTGGTTGAAAATGTCAGCTATGCATTGAAACTTAATTGATGACATTCTAATTACATTAGAAGTCTAAATCATTTGTAGGTAAGGTTTCCATTCTTTAGAAATTATCTGTTAAATAATTTTTAGGAGAATGTTGCTTGGACTAAGATTCCATTCTCCCCACAGATGTTTATTCCATAGTACCACAGTGTTTGATTTATCTGCTCACCAATGTACATATTATGGACTGGTTCTCAAAGTTTCCATGATCTAACTCCCTTCACTGTAGAATTTGCAAATCTCAAGTGTGAGATTCTTATACAAATGATTGGGGGTTTATTGTGTTTGGGGTTTTTTTGTGTTTTTTTGTTTTTTTTACAGATAAGAAGGCTATTACCTTTTAGATCTTTATTCCTCGTACTGAATACCAGTCACCAGTATTTACCATTATCTCTTAAGCACCAATAAGAATATACATAGGAAAACTGTGACCACTGTACTATCATAGCCCTCCATATCTTTTTCTTGTCAGTTACTGAGAAGCTTGCTTGCTTCCCATCCATTTCTTGCTAAAGAAAACCAACTTTTCTGTGTTTTCTCTTGTTGAATAATTTTTAAATTAGATTTCTTACGCCTTGTCTATGCTACTACATTTAACTGATCCAAAATATTTGACGTGTGTTACATGAATAACGTAACTGAAGTCAACATAGATTGTGTCCACTTTACATACCACACACCAACTTCCCTTACTCTTCTTGGGGAAGTGGAGTACAGAAATCAACGGCAGAGCATTCTCCCATTGATTTAGCATGTTTTCACCAGACCTGCCAAATTGACACCTGCATCAATTACATCAGTACCAATTTAGCTCAGTATTGAAGACATGGTCGTAGTTCCCAAATTACTTCATTTTCATTTTTTATGTTGTATGTTCAAAGGGATTTTTTTTTTACTCAGTTTCAGAGGGGAGGAAAGCTACTTTTTTAATGTTACGCGTGGGTGTAAATAAAAAGCTAATTCTAAAAGTTATTTAATGACCAAAAGAGGGCTGTTTTCAGAGGTTGAAATCAGCATGACCTGAGCAAGCAAAACTCTGTCTACACACACTTATATAGTTTTTAATGGGAGTGTTCAAAGATATCATTGGACACAGTGCTCTTCACCTTAACTGTGTGCTAATATATGCTGTGTAGAGATTATTAAAATCCTGCAAAATTAGTTTTTAATATGCCTGAATCTATATTCAGTGCACTGCTATATACCCTTCTTTCTCCCCCGCTCCTGTACAGGTTGGGGTTCCTTATAAGAATGAAGCATTCAGATCATCATTAGGCAAAGCTTTTCACTTCATTTCATGTTGCCTTGTTAGGAGTTTTGGTCCAAAATTAAACCTCAAGACTCACTATGCCTCCATGTGCCATTGACTCTCTCAAAAATAATACTGATTTCATTTCTCTGGATCTCTGACAGATTTACAAGTGGGTGGGTGTGTTAGGGACATTAAGTTTAGATTAATTAACTAATTGAATAGTCAATGGGATTTCCATCGACTATTTGATTAGTCTATAAGGCGCCTCCGCCTTTGAACTGTAGCAAGAGTCCTACCGGGCCTCTTGCTGCAGTTCAAAAGCAGAAGCCCTGCAGGGAGTATGGGACCAGCAGGGGATCCCTCTGGCCATGTGCTCCCTGTGGCACCTGAGCCTTTGAAATGTACAAGAGCCCTGGAGACTAGGGGTATTCACTACTTTGTGTGTTGTTGACATGTGCACAGGCCAGTATTACCCTAAATAGTTTTTTAAAAAAGCTGGGGGGGAGGACCTCTTAATTTCTGAAAAACGCACTGTCCATGTCCATTTCTATCATGATTATTGGTGAGATAGTCGGTACACATTACCATTAGGGACATGGTATCTCTAAGGTTCCTTATTAATTATTTCCAATATGTTTGAAGCTTTAGACTGACCAAAGCGCACACAACTTTAGCCGTTGCTGATGTGGCCATCAATTTCCTCCTTGGCGAAAGAAACAGACAACGAGGTTTCTCAGAACCAAACACTTCTGTTTATGGATCTATCATAGTTAATATGTAGGAGCTTCCTTGGTGAGATTTCATACCCAGAAACACGATTCTTTGAGGATTCTACAATGTATTTCAACCTCCTATAAAGACTGTGCTTAATTCTTTGAAGATACTCCAAAATTTGATGTGCAGTCTAGCAGTATTAATCCAAACAGACAGAGCAAGCAATTGGCTATTACATAAGAGGGGAACATGTGTGCGGTAGCCCATAAATTGGCCAATTGACCTCTCTTGACAGCTCCATGCCTTGTTAGAAAATTTAACTGTCTTATAGATAGGGAAAATCTCGTGATGGTAGATTCAGCTATACTTTGTAAACAAGAAACTGGCAAAGCAGGTTTTTCTTTGACTCGGGGAACTCCAGGTGGATTATTTTACAAGAAAGAGCTGCCTGCCTTGTGCACAGGAGAAAAAAGACCGAGAGTACATGTTCTCCCTTTGACCAATGGTTAGGAGTCGAAACAGTTCATGCATGTCTACCTTCTAATCAGCTATAGAAAGGACCTCTCACAAAGCTTAGGAGGAGGATTTGAGTTCTGTGACAGTATTAATGATGAAAGAATGTGAAGATTCTCCTTCTGCTGGATATAGCCATCGCCAGTCCCAAAAGATTTCTAGATTTACCAATCCTGAAAATTCAGTTCCAAGGTATTTCTCTCCATCCTAAACTTGGTGTTCTCACTCAAAAGTACTGCTCCTCCTGTCAGGGTGGAAATTGAAAAGCTGTAATAGTTTGAATTGCACTCTGGTTTTTGGCTATTCATTTATTTTTGCCTCTTCATTAATATTTTTGTTCTTCAGTTTGAATTTGATTTTACAAATAGATCTAAAACTACCTTGAAAAACGTCCTTAGTAATATTTTATTGCTGATACTCAGATGAGAGCGAATACTGCATACAGGTGTGGTCACCTCATTTCAAAAAATATCTTGGCATTGGAAAAGGTTCAGAAAAGGGCAACAAAAATTATTTGGGATTTGAAATGGGTGCCATATGAAGAGAGATTTAAAAGACTGAGACTTTTCAGCTTAGAAGAGAGGAGACTAAGGGGGGATATGATAGAGGTCTATAAAATCAGGACAAGTGTGGAGACAGTGAATAAGGAATAGTTATTTACTTGTTCCTATAACATAAGAACTAGGGGGTCAACAAATGAAATTAATAGATAACAGGTTTAAAACAAACAAAAGGAAGTTTTTCTTCATACGGCACACAGTTGGCCTGTGGAACTCCTTGCCAGAGGAGGTTGTGAAGACCAGGACTTAATAGATTAAAAAAAAAGGGTAGGAATGACATCCCTAGGCTGTTTGTCAGAGGCTGGAAATGGATGCTAGGAAAGGGATCACTTGATAATTACCTGTTCTGTTGCTCCCTCTGGGGCTTCTGGCATTGCCTACTGTTGGCAGACAGGATACTTGGCTAGATGGGTCTTTGGACTGACCCAGTATGGCTGTTCTTGTGTTCTTAAAAGATTTTTTTTTCCTTCATGAGTAGAGAAGGAGTGAAATTAAACAATTTTTTTCAAACTTTGATGTGTTAGTTGTTCAGAACGTAGGAATAATAAACTAACAAAAGCTCAAGTTTATAGTAACAAGATTTACAGTACAGAATAGGGATTAAAGACCATATGTTTGTGATCTTGTTCTGTTTATTAGGAAATGGGCATTTTACCTTTCGTCTAGATCTGGTAGAAGCATCAGAAATGTTTAAGCTGCATATTTTCCCTTAAGTGCTATTGTTATGGGCAAGTAGATCGTCATATTCATGTATTTTCTCTGTCCACACTTACAGGGGTCACAAGCGCAAGCTGGATGAAGGTGATGCTGCCAGTGAATCCAGTAAAGAGTCCAGCAATGAAGATGAGGAAGGGAGCAGTTCAGAGGCAGATGAAATGGCAGCAGCGCTTGAAGCCGAATTGAATGACTTCATGTGACATTCATACGAAAGGGGATTTCTAACTATGTTTTACTTCTTGTGACAGATCTAATTTCAAATGAGCCCCTTATGTCAGTACTCAAGGTTTTTCCAAAATGTGTGTGTATATTTTGCAAAGCAACACAAGAGGTGACACATTATTTTACAAAATCAGAAATAGATGTTTTTAAGGTGTTTTATTAAAGGAAAATATACTTTTTTAAAAGGAAAAGTATTAAGGGGGACTTGGTGTACTATGCCAAAGACATGTTATGAGCTCTGCAGAATCTTCATATACCAGGACAGTAGTGCAAAGGTTTATGATTTAACATACAGTAACTTTTAAAATATTTCAATGTATGGTTTTGGTAACAGGCTTCAAGAAAAGGAGGCCACAAAGAGGATGGAGTTGCTTGAATAATACTGCTGGAACTTGATGATCTGGTCATACTTTTTTTCCACTATTAAATACTATCAAATATAAAAGGATTTTTAAAATAAAAAAGAACAATTTATATTTGTATAAAAACTGAAAATGTAATATGCAAGCTTTGTGAACTCTGCACTTGACCTCCTGTCACTGGCTTCTAAGAGAATACAGAATGATTGAATTTCATGCTCTTTAGTTACTTTGTGGACTAGTTGGATTCTTTAGGGAGACCACTTAGATTTTTAACTTTGCTTCTCTGTAACCTGGAATTTTAGCACAGCATACTGTGTGATCCTGTACTGCCATAAGGAGCTTATTCACCCATTTGTGTTGTTCTTGGAAGGAGTGTGTGCTGCTTCATTCTAGATAGGGTTTTATTTCTTTGAGAGATCTGATGTAAAGTTTTTGTATATTCTATTTCATATTTGACCCACAAAACAGATTTTCTTTCATTTAATAAAAATCCATTTTGTAAATTCTGTTTTCATTTCATGAGTTGCAAAAAACAGTTACTATATTTCACCTGCTTCCATCACACAAGAAACTACTCACCTAATCAGCTTTGCATTATTCTGTGTGAAAATTGTGACTATCATCTGAAGCAATAGCAAACTTCATTTTTATAGCTACTCAAGTGTCAAGGAATGTGCCCTTGTTATCTAAGCTTACATAGTACATTTACAAAATAATTTGACCAGAAGATCTGTACTTTGGTAATCTAAAAAGAACGCTGTTTTTATTGCTCTTTCAGATATTTTCACTATTTTTAAAAGATGCATAAATTCTGTGTAAAAAATTACATAAAGTTGTGGAAGAGGTGCAGATAATGTAAATATTTACTGCAATTAAATGAGTGAAGACCCAGGTATATTGAAAAGTATTTGCAAAGGAGGCAAAGAGTTAAAATGCTACAAATAATTTTTTCTGACATCAGATGAAACACATTTCTTGCCATGCAAAAGTATATATATAATGGATGCATAAAACACACTGCGGATCATTGGTGGGAATTGTATTAATATGAAATAATATTTTGAGTCTTCTATTAATGTTTAGATCCCTTACTGCAATTGGTTTCAGACTGCGAAGTGTATCGATATTTATTGGACTCATAAACCAAACCAATACTGACTTCTAATGTACACACAAGGCTGGATTGGGTTTTGGTCTTTAAATCCTTAAAGGCTGAGTATGTAACTGAAGTGATATATTAGGTCATTGAGAAGAGAAAGTTATGCCAATTAATTATACACATTTTATTGATTTACCATCAGCTCCAGAGCACACTGCCAATTTGTTTTATGATTTAAGCATCACTGAGTTTGCTGGACTGTTTGCTGAAGCACAAGATTGAAATCCCCACTACCATGCCTTGTTCTGCCATGCTTTTACAGCAACGTTCATTTCATTGAAGGGACTGAAGAAGTGGGAAAGTGGCACTAGAAAAGTTCTACTTGAAACACAGTCCAAAGCTATTTATTTTTTTAAAAACTAAAAATTCCTTAAACTAAAAAAACTCTTGTCTTTTAAGCTGTCTCCCTGCATTTTGGGAGCTACATTGCCCTGAAATTAGGAACCTCCATTCTTGTTTCCATCCTTTTTCTGAACTAAGAAGTTAGTATATCTGGGAATATTTCCCATCTTACCATCACCATATACTGAAGCAGTATATGATCCCTTAGAGCAATGAGTCTCAATCTGTTTCATCCTGCAGTTAGCTATTGGAGACAGGAAGTGAGAATCCTTCATAGACTTCTCCCAGCCAGCTCCATTTCCTCATTGCTTGGTTTTCAGATTGTCTGCGCACCTCTAGTGGCCATGGAACTCTTCATGAGCAAATATCGATAAACGACATGAGGTTAATTAAATTACCAAAATAGAATTTAAAATATTGTCATTCCAAGAAAGCTGAAATTTCGCAGAACTCAAAGGCTTTGTTCCTTAAAAGAATTAAGAAATGTTGCCTCCATAGAATAGTACAGACCCAGAGCGAATAGTCACTGACTTAGAGATGAGCTAATGTGTAAGGAGGGAATTGGGAACATTGCTATAATGGCTTTAGATAGGAAATAGATGAATGAAATCAGAATCTGAAGGAAGTGATCATTAGGTGCTCCAATCAAGCCCATGGTAGTTTTTACCTTTTGAACTATGCCAGTGCCCTTTCTTTGGGAGAGTACATCAGAGACAAAGTGAGTTAGAACCATTTGGGGGATAGATGGTCTATTCATCTTACCTATCTACATCAAGATATAAGGATAGTATTCCTCTTGGGGAGCACCAGAAAATATTTTTCTTAACCAGGCATTTTTGTGGAAAATGTTTGATTTGCTAGTAACTTCTGGCTATTTAAAATATCCCCATTCTGAGAAATGGCGAGTGATACCATCTTCTATTCAGGCCAATCCTCAAAATGACTTAGCCACCAAAATGCTCTTCTGAAAACACTAAAAAGCATTCTGCCAATCTAGACGTACTTTTCCGAAAATGCTTTTAACGGAAAAGTTTTCCGTTAAAAGCATTTTCGGAAAAGTACGTCTAGATTGGCAGAATGCTTTTCCGCAAAAGCTCTTTTTGCGGAAAAGCGTCCGTGGACGATCTAGATGTGTTTTTCCGCAAAAAAGCCCTGATCGCCATTTTCGCGATCGGGGCTTTTTTTCGGAAAACAGTACTATGCTGTCTACACTGGCCTTTTTGGGCAAAAGTCTTTCGGAAAAAGACTTTTGCCCAAACGGGAGCAGCACAGTTTTTCCGGAAAATCACTGACGATCTTACATGAGATCGTCAGTGCTTTTCCGGAAATTCAAACTGCTAGTGTAGACAGCTGGCAAGTTTTTCCGCAAAATCATATGATTTTGCGGAAAAACTTGCCAGTCTAGACACAGCCTAAGGCTATGTCTATACTGCAGGCTTCTTGTGCAAGAACTGTTTTGCGCAAAAGGTCTTGCATAAAAGCGCATCCACACTGTCATGTGCTTTGTACAAAATCATCCATGTCAGTGTGGACGCTCTCTTGCACAAGAAAGCTCTGATGGCCATTTTAGCCATAGGGTTTTTTGCACAAGAAACCCCTGTTGCCCGTCCACACTGCCTTCTTGCGCAAGAGAGCTTATTCTTCATGGGGAGAGGAATAACTCTTGCACAAAAAGCCCTCTGTTCCGATGCTTTGCTGTAAATTTACTTGCACAAGTAGCCTGCAGTGTAGATGTAGCCACAATGCTACTCCAAGTCATATTGAAAAAGGACATCTAGAAATACTTACTAATTCATCTGTCAGCAAAATGGGAGGACAAATAGCAGTCAAAAGGTTTTATGTAATATTGTGCAACCTGTTCAGGTATTAGATGAGATTATCTTTTTAGAATATATCCCCTGCATCTTTATGCTATAAATAAATTAGTTACTTTTTAGAAACACAACTGTTTTCCTTAAGAATAAAATGTCAGCTTTGGCATAGATTGACCTCTCAAGTTCAGCATATGCCATTATCTCTGTTACGTTGGGGTTTTGAGATTTGTATGAAGATTCACAGGTAGCACACATCTAAACATCAACTAGATGAATCTCAAAGGATGATCACTCTTACTATTTTCTGATTGTAATTTGGAGTGCTGTTTTAGAGCTAGTTCTCAAATGTGAAGTGATGAGATCAATATCTGGTGAACAAGAGGTTATTTCTGTGACAAGGTTTTAAACATTCTATGAATGACCTAGGTAGCAAATATGTCCTACAGTCAAATAGCATTGAAGCAATGTTATGTCATATTGGTGAAAACTGTTATGTGGATGCTGAATTCCACTGTAAGTTAACTGCACTTCATTGTTGGTTGGAGAGATTCATATAAAGGTTGAAAAGCTCTTTGGGATGAGGAATACTATATAGAAATGAAAGCTATATTTCTTCTTTCACTTCCTTGTTTTACTTATCACTTTAGGGTTAACCACTAGTGAGTGTCAAGAAAGAATCCCGACAAATGATCAAGCTTCAGCAGGCCTGAGATCATATGGATTCCCATGAAAATATTGAAGCAGGAACCTCCATCCAAGAGTAAAAACTTCATCGACATTAAGATCATCTTCCCCTGTAGGGTATAGGATTTGGAAGAGCTTATAGTTAACAGTAAAAAATTTACTCAAACCAAGTGCATACCTAGATCCCACAGCTGGGAAAGGCAGATCCATGGAACACAGATGAAGTCAAAGTCCGACAATCCTACAAATTAAAACAAAAAGTTATAGGTATTTGACAGAACATTTTGTTCTTTGACAATGCATTCAGATAGCTATAATGGCATACATATTTTTCAGGATCTGGAGCTACTAGTGGGTTTTCAAAACATACCAATGAATCACCACTCTCTCTCCAAGAGACATTCATCTTGGTTTTTGTTTAAAGACAGAATCTCACTACCATTCGGAGAGCTGTTTCTTGTAAGCCAGTCACCAAATTTCTTTTGTGATGGTAACTGAAATTTTAAGAGGCCACAAATAAAATGTCTTGATTAAACTGACACTACAAAGACACTAAGGCTGTGTCTAGACTGGCAAGTTTTTCCGCAAAATCATCTGATTTTTGCGGAAAAAGTTGCCAGCTGTCTACACTGGCCGCTTGAATTTCCGGAAAAGCACTAACGATCTCATGTAAGATCGTCAGTGCTTTTCCGGAAATACTATGCTGCTCCAGTTTGGGCAAAAGTCTTTTTCCGAAAGACTTTTGCGCAAGAGGGCCAGTGTAAACAGCACAGTAGTGTTTTCCACAAAAAAGCCCCGATCACGAAAATGGCGATCGGGGCTTTTTTGCGGAAAACTGCGTCTAGATTGGCCACGGACACTTTTCCGCAAAAAGTGCTTTTACGGAAAAGCGTCCTGCCAATCTAGACGCTCTTTTCCGAAAATGCTTTTAACGGAAAACTTTTCCGTTAAAAGCATTTCCAGAAAATCATGCCAGTCTAGACGTAGCCTAAATGTATGAAGCTGTCATTTCCTACCACTAACTTGTGCCTTTTTTCAAGATACAAGAAGTATCCTACACAGGTTACAAATGTGTTCTATGAAATGGCTTCTAAAATTCCTATTAAAATGACCTATATGCCTTGGCTAACTGTTCCTAATGTAATTTCACATCCATAGGGCCAATCTTGTTTAGAAAAAACACGCTAACTGCCTGACCTACTTCTGTGCATTAGATCCTCAACAATAACCTGCTGCCAGAAAGTTACTCTTAGCGCTAATGTAAAAAGCAGAATCCCACTTAGATTATCTGTATTAAACTGACCATGCAGCGCTGCTTTGACTAATGGTACTAGGCATGGAAATGTCCACAGAATGAGGATACAATACATGCTGCCCCATTAAGCTCTCAATTTGACCTAAATCATTTCTCTAACCCTCCAGAGGAGACCGCTTTCTTGCGTTCTTTGCAAGAAAGAGAAAAGTGGAGCAATTTTGTTCATTGTAAGCTCTGTAGCTGTACTCA